AAGCATGCAAAGGGACCCCATAACAACATACCCAATCTGTGTTCAAAATAGTGTTCAAAATAAATTAAATTTATTTTTTAAAATTTTACGAAATAATTTACATCTATGTTGAATTAAAAATATCTTAATTTAATTGATTCAAAATTTAAAGTTTGCACCAACCCAATTAAGCAGACTTGTTTTCTTAACTGTACAATAAACCAATCTTTTAGAATTGTTTAAATATTTTATTTAAATTTTTTTCATTTGACAAATGTTTTAACACATATGTAGTCATACCAGATTAATTCTTTGGATATGGAGATACTCTTCATAATTTTATATTTTTTCTAATTATTTTAAATTGATATTATACTACATTTTTTAATTATTGAAGAAATATATTTACGTATTATTGTGTGGATAACATAGTAGTTTATTTTAATGAGAAAGATCAAAGAGTGCATAGGTTGTTGAACTTAATCATTGACAATTCAATGTGAAATAAAATGAGTTTTTAGGTTACAAGATATGCATTGATTTTATTTCACATTAAACAATTGCATATCTTTTGGTTACACGATACGCATTTGCATCTTCATCATTCTAATCCACTAAAAACTTTGATTAGATTACTATTTGTGTAACTCAACCTAAATCACTGGTCCCCAAAATGAAGATTGGTAGGTTCTATGGAAATCATTTGGCCTTCACTTGATGAAACAGAGACGTGTGTATTGTTCGGTTTAGGATGTGACATTGAGAGCAAATGTGAATGGTTGAATACAACTCAGTTTCACGGCTGCTTTTGGAGAGATCCATGCATTGTTTTGTATCCTTATCTACTTTGTTACTGCGTTTAATTTATATTTAATAAATTATAATTTATTATTTTTCTTACTTATTATTAAATGTAATTTAAATAAAAAAATTTTAAATTTATACTAGTGTAAAAAGATTTTATATATATATATATATATATATATATATATATATAAAACTTTTTTATGAGTTATATTTAAAAATGAATTAAACTTAAAATTTGAACTAATTTTTAAAAATTAGTTGATTTAATTCTATGATGTATTAAAATTTATTCGACTTAAATATTCAATTTTGTAAGACCTGAAAAATGTGCATAAATAAATACTCAAAAACAAAAAATTATTACTCATAATAATTTTATTTAATTGAAACATAATTATTTCTGGTATAAAAGATATTTATTATGTAAAAAAAAAAAAACCTTTTAATTTTAATGTTATTTAAAGAGAAGACCCATAATTATATATGCCATGCATGTCACATGTATTCAACTTAAGATATAAGTAGACGCTTGGATTTATTTAATTTGTAAGAAAATGTTGTTTTGAAAAAAGGGTCTCAAAGTCTTAATTTTGGTTTAAAAAATTAGAAATTAGAAATTAGAAAGGTGGCACACATGGCAAACAGCAAGAATGATGCACCAACCAAGCAACCTGGGACCCACAATTTCTAAGGAATGTGGGGTTTTGAATGACCCAACAATCACTAATGCTAATCCTCTGAGATGGATAGCAAGTGCCAACCTCATGAGTCATGATCACATTTAATAATTCATAGATTTCACAGCACAACATAGAAAGTGTTCAAGCCCACCACCTTGCTTACACAAATTTGGTTAACCAGTTAATCAATCGGTTATGTACCTAAATAGTTTCTTTCTAACTAAAGAGTTAACAATAGGGATAGTGGAATAGCTATTATTGACTTCCAACCCTTTGTTGCTACACTGTTCATAATATTCTTACACTTGTCGAACACACAAATATCGTTAAATGGTATAATAGTACGTTTATATCCAAAATTAAAAAATAGATAGATATATATATATTTATTTGATTTTAATTTTTTATTTAACTTATATTTATCAGGTTATAATTTATTATTTTATTAATCATTAGATTCAGATTAAATTTTTTTTTAAACTTATACAAAAAAATCTTTTATATATATATATATATATATTTGTTATTTAAATATATAATTTGATATTAAGTTAACTTTTGTTTATATAAAAATAAATATCATATTTAGAAAAATAAGTTTAACGTTGTAATATTGTTGCTCTTTATACCCGAAATATAAGATAAACCTCGTGATAACAATGGATTTACAGCATCAAACGAAGACATTACTGAGAAATAAATAAAATCATTTTTGATCATTTAACTTGTCTGAATAAATATTGTAGTGTCACTTTTACCGAAGATCTTGAACCAGCCATCAGTCATCGCGTGCTTTTTCTGTCAATATGCAAGGCCATTTAGCAGTATATACAATAATAAAATAGAAGTACAGAAGAATATTAAACATTGAATTTATAAAAAAAAATATTGAAACAATATTGTTCAGCAAATTGCATTTATTATCACAGTAAGTACATGATTATTTTATTTATTGAAATTGTTTAATTTTAATAATTTATAGATAATTAAATGAATAATTATTTTTTACAAAATAATAGAATAAAACATGTATTAATATACATGAAATATATATATATATATATATATATATATATATATACCTGTATTAATATATATGTTCATGTGTCTAAAAGTACATTTTATATTTTTGAACGAAATTTATATGTTTATATTTATAGTAGTTCTGATATTTTAAAAATTAAAAACTATTTATTTTTTTAAATAAAATTATTATTATTATTATTTATTATATATATTTAATGTAATTTTAATAGGAATAATTATTTCACATTTAAAGGATATGAAATATTATTTTAATTTTTAAAATACTGAACTTATTTAGTTAAAATGTAAGAACGTAGATATAATATTTATAAAATATTATTAATAATATTATTGTCAAATTTATATATTTATAATATTTAATAATTTTTTATAAAATGTAAGATTTCAACCTTGTATTTTATATTAATTTTTAAATTATGTATATTAGATTTTGAGTAATTTAAATATTTATAAATATATTATTTAAAATTTGATATTTACTTATATTTTAAAAATATATTACTAATTAAAATAAAGTAATATAATAAAATATTAAATATTTTTAATAAAATTTTATAAAATTTATTTATTTAATAAAAAATATTCTAAACTAATGACTAGATTAATAAATTTTTCATTTAATAAAAAAAATTTTATAAAATTTATTAAATAGTATACAAAATAGAAATGTTAAATTAAAAAGATCAACAACTAAAATTGGTTGCTTCTAGATGAGTTAGTAATCCATAGGTGCATATTAAAGTTTTAACCATGAAACCTATCAATATATTAACAACATTTCATATTAATTACATTTACCAAATAATACACATTGTTAAGAAAATTTTATTTAATCATAAGATAATTGAAAATTTGCAAAAAGGAAAATACTAAACTTAGAAAAAAGTAACATTAATAACATACTTTCCAATATAAATTTTTTAATATATTTTTAATATTAACTAAAATTTATTAAAAATTATATAAGTTTCATTTTTTTTACTGTTTTTTCTTATATTCTTTAAAATTTTTAGAATATTGTAACTAATAATAAAAAAACGTGTGAGAAAGAATCTTCCTGACATTCTTAAATTTGAAAATGCAATTAAAGAATATCACTCTTGTTTTCCACAAGAAAACAAGTATTCTTAATTTGTTATTCAATTAAAATAAAATTTTATTAACTTTAGAATTGAATTTAACTATTTACAATTTTTTTTATAAAAAATACATAATTTTTGTATTATATTTTTTTATAATAAAATTTTATTATTATTAGTTACTTATCTTTAATTTTAAAGGTTGAAATTAACAAAAATTCATTAAAATATTGTTTTATCCTACCGACGGAAGAATATCTATTATGTTTTGGTGTTTACTAGTAGTAACAAAATTTTATGCTCTACATTAATGATTGAGATTTCACAAAATTACCGTAAATGAACACACTCTCATACAGTAAATGCATCATTTTAAAGTATCAAAGCAAGAGAGATTTTACGATGAACATGAACCGATGACCCAAATGTCTAATGTTGCAGGCCTTAACCTTTTTGTCTTCTGCGAGAAAGATGGAATATAGATAAGTTGTTGTTTTTGGACCTGGCATTTGCATTAGTATTAGATTTGCACATTAACCTTGCACCCATTGAAATTTAAATAAAGACTTATTTGTCAATATTTCAAAAAATTATCGCATGCTGCAAATTTTAAACTCTTCGAAAGTTATAACGAAGTTTTAAGAGTGAAATAAAATAATTTGAGAAATCTTATAATTCAGGTCAACGTTACCAGTTAATTGCATAATTAGTTAACTCACTGTAGCCTTAAGAAAATAAAAATAAAAATAAAAATAAAAATATTCAATTTTTTTATTATATAAAAATACATTTAAAACTGCTTAAAATATATTAAATAATGATTGCGTGACCCTCAGATTCTGAGTTTTCACCTCATGGTTGATACAAGATGAACACACACCCATAAATTTGAACATAGTTTAATCCAAACACATGCTAAGACAAGAAACAGCGGCAGAGGGAACTGCGAAACAGTAGAAAAAGACAACACCATGATCTTAGGAAAACCGTGACATTGACAAGCTCTAAATATATTTGCATACGTGGCGTGCCCTTCAATGCGTATTACCAATCTTCACTCTTCTCGCATTTGATTCTCTTCCCACTCTCCAAGTTTATTTCCGTTCTTATCTTTTTACAAAATCGCCAAGCAACAACGTTTTACACTCACACGCATGTGGGAAAAAAAGACATGAGGACTGGTCGAAGACGCTAACCAGTCATTTCCCAAGCTTTCTGTGCAAGTTTGTTCTGTTTGTCTTAAGAAAGCAACCCCATTTAAGTTTTAACTCCAAAGACATTTTTAGCATTTGCTTTAAGATAAGGGTATTAAGAAAACCCGTGCCTTTAAATACGGGAAGCTAAAACAAAGAGGGAATCATTGTCATTCCCTTTGTTGGTTTTGTTCGTTCTTTTTGTTCCAAAAAGGCAATGAGAGCGACACAGCTTGTGTTGGTTTTGCTTTTGTTCTTTTGTGTTTATGCTCCTTCTTCCTTTTGCACCAATGTTACCTATGACCATCGAGCATTGATCATCAATGGCAAGCGTCGAGTCTTAATATCTGGTTCTATTCATTACCCTCGTAGCACTCCAGAGGTAGAATATGTGTGTCTATTATGCTCCTTTTCACCTTTGTTTTTGACGTTTGGACTTCAAAGTGGTGGTGTTTGTTGTTGCAGATGTGGCCAGACCTTATTCAGAAATCCAAAGATGGAGGAATAGATGTCATTGAAACCTATGTTTTCTGGAACTTAAATGAACCAGTTCGAGGCCAGGTTCTGCTCTTTTTGGTTATGTTAATTTTACCATTACCATTTTCACATTGTTTATGTTTATGTTCCTCACTGTCTCTTGCATTGCATTGTTTGTGTGTGTACTTTGCAGTCATGCAAATACAAATCATAAACAAAAATAAAAGTAGGCAGCTTTGGAAAATAAAATGATCATTGTTTCACACGTTTTTTACAGTTAATATGAACAGTGTAGTTAAATCTTAAAACCATGAAATGGGGAGTACTACTCCACTATTCCTTAATAATATACAGTTGGGGTCTTGTGATCAAATTGATGATGGATTATTACTTGGGTTGGCAGTATAATTTTGAAGGAAGGGGTGATTTGGTTAAATTTGTGAAGGCAGTAGCAGAAGCAGGTCTATATGTGCATCTCCGGATTGGTCCATATGCATGTGCTGAATGGAACTACGGGTAAAAGTAGATCCTTTCTATGTCTCTTTTTACGAGGAAGTTCATATCTGATCATGGTCTTCAACTTTTCTCAACAGTGGTTTTCCTCTTTGGCTCCATTTTATTCCGGGAATTCAGTTCCGAACTGATAATGAACCGTTTAAGGTAATCATTCACTTCCTTTCTCTATGTCTCATCTTTTTGCTCCTGCTTCCTTTTATCATGTGAAATTGAATTGTCTTCAGGCAGAAATGAAGAGGTTCACTGCTAAGATCGTGGATATGATGAAGCAAGAGAACCTCTATGCCTCACAGGGAGGACCAATTATTTTATCTCAGGTTTTTCTCAAAATGTTATATCAATGTTTATTTTTTGGGAAATTATGGCATCCAGATTTGGAAGCATAATTATTTGTTCTATGGATAGTTTCAAATTCTTAATGGCCTACAGCATATAAAAATTCTTTTAATATTAAAATATTAAGTACTTTCTAATGCCAGATTGAAAATGAGTATGGGAACATTGATGCGGCCTATGGTCCAGCTGCTAAATCCTACATCAATTGGGCAGCATCAATGGCTACATCTCTTGATACAGGGGTTCCCTGGGTCATGTGCCAGCAGGCAGATGCTCCTGATCCAATTGTATGTTTTATCCTTTTAGCTGTTTACATCAAGGGTTCTGCTGTTTATTTTTTACTATATTGTCTATCTTACTATGCTGCTATCTACAATTATCCTACTTGATTGTTAATTTCGTAATTTGTTATATTAACTGCTTTCAGATTAACACATGCAATGGATTTTACTGTGATCAATTCACACCAAACTCTAAAGCAAAGCCTAAAATGTGGACTGAGAATTGGAGTGGATGGTTGGCATCCTTTTCTATATGAATCATTTAGTATTTGAATGTCTTGTAAATATGATCTTGTGATTTTTGAATATCCTTTCTCATTCAGCTCTATTTTTTTCTTTCTTTCAACCTTTGAATTCTTTGAAACCATAGGTTTCTTTCATTTGGTGGAGCTGTGCCTTACAGACCAGTGGAAGATCTTGCATTTGCTGTGGCACGCTTTTTCCAGCGAGGTGGAACTTTTCAAAATTACTATATGGTAATGCAACGCAACCTTACATGTTGTTTAAGATAAGAAACAATTTGATGCCACAACTTGTTTGCTTGCTTGCTCTGAAACAGTACCATGGAGGGACTAATTTTGGCCGGACTTCTGGTGGACCATTCATTTCTACTAGTTATGATTATGATGCACCAATTGATGAGTACGGTATGCTGTGTTTCAACCTTCATATTTATTGTCAGTGTTGTAGAATTGAATCTAGACATCATATGCTTATTTTTTCAAAACATTTTACTGCATGGTGCAGGAATTATTAGACAGCCTAAGTGGGGACACCTTAAGGATATGCACAAGGCCATAAAGCTTTGTGAAGAAGCACTGATAGCTACTGATCCAACAATAACATCTCTTGGTTCAAATCTAGAGGTAATAAGTGCACCTTTTAACTTGGTCAAGGAGACTCTTATTATACTATGTTTAGAACAATTTATCCTCTTAACATTTACTGTGTAAACCCAGGCTGCCGTTTACAAGACAGGAGCTGTATGTGCTGCCTTCCTTGCCAACATTGCCACATCTGATGCAACAGTAAAGTTTAATGGAAATTCCTATCACTTGCCTGCATGGTCTGTGAGCATCTTACCTGACTGCAAAAATGTAGTGCTTAATACTGCAAAGGTTTGCCTCATCAATTTCCCAATCAAAATAGATAGTTCAATTGAATAAAGTTACTCTCAAATTGCATGTGATTAATGTATCTATAGTTGAGATTATTTTTTTTGAAGTCCAAGAAGTGGCATAAACTGAAGTTATTTTTGGTATGGCAGATTAATTCTGCATCTATGATTTCAAGCTTCACAGCTGAATCTTTAAAAGAAAAGGTTGGTTCTTTGGATGATTGTGGCTCAGGATGGGGTTGGATCAGTGAACCTGTTGGTATTTCAAAGGCCGATTCATTCTCAAAATTTGGATTACTGGAGCAAATAAATACAACTGCTGATAGAAGTGACTACTTGTGGTACTCATTAAGGTATATATATTATACCTCCAAGGTTGAGAAAGCTTTCTTCTGACCAGCAATTTTCTGCCACATAATAAAACTTAATCGTGATTTTTTTTTCTGAAGTATTGATATTGAAGATGATGCTGGTGCTCAAACTGTCCTTCACATTGAATCCCTTGGTCATGCCCTTCACGCTTTCATAAATGGGAAGCTAGCAGGTAAATAAAATTAATGTCTGTCAATGAGTTAAATATTTCGTATGCACTATATGTTCTTGTTTAAATTCCTTGGCATTATTTTAAGACCTAAGAAAGAAAGAAGCATGTCCCTCCCCCCACCCCACCCCTCTTAAGCACTCTTAGATTCTTTATTTGAAAATGTTGCAAATGAGGCAAAAATTAAGCCTGTGTTTGGGTTGGTATTAGTCAGAATAGAAATAACTATAGTGTAAGGTGTCTCTCTCTTCCTGCTATGCGTGGCCACTGGCTACAGATGATAGATCACTAACCTGAGAACATAATATTCTTGGCTGCAGATCAAAAAACATTCACGCAAGTTTGCAACCTTAAACATATAAAAGCATACTATCTAGATCAAATCACTCAATTAAGCATAAAACTCAGTACTTATTAGTTTTATTATTATAACAAATACAGGTTCATTAAATATCTAAAATAGAAATTATAAACATAAATTGAATTTTGGGCATTCCTTGGCAAGCAAAATTTTAATCTCACTATTATATATGGAAATAAAAATCAAGGTTAATTAGAAATAGAGTTAGATCAACTGTTCATGGTTGTTCCTTCCTAAAATGTTCAGTTCTTTCTTTATTTCAATAGAATATTTCATGAATTATCTAATAATACTTATCTGTTCAGGGAGTGGAACAGGCAACAGTGGCAATGCTAAGGTCAAAGTAGACATCCCCATCACACTAGTGTCTGGGAAAAACATAATTGATCTCCTGAGTTTAACTGTGGGACTTCAGGTTTGTCTTTTCTTCTTATAATGTATATAAACATTTAGAGCAAAGGAAATTTAGGTTTGTAATATGCATTAGTTTGTTATTCCCTCTCCATATCAGTTCACCTAATTGTCAAGTCAGTTCTTACTACATCAGCTAATGCAAAAACCTTGTGCACATCAGAACTATGGAGCTTTCTTTGACACATGGGGTGCAGGGATCACTGGTCCCGTGAAATTGAAAGGTTTGAAGAATGGAAGCACTGTTGATCTCTCCTCCCAGCAGTGGACATATCAGGTTAGTCTCAGCTTAACTAAAGTCAGTTATTTTCCTTCTCATTTTGAGTTTTGATGTCTTCATTAACTGAAGAGATACAACTGAAATAAATTTGATTTCATTTTTCCTTTTTGATCGAAGCCATAGAATACAGAGTCTGTATTTTTTTGAATTCAGGTTGGCCTTAAAGGTGAAGATTCAGGTCTACCTAGTGGCAATTCTGGACAGTGGAATTCACAATCTACCTTACCAACAAATCAGCCATTGACGTGGTACAAGGTAATCTTTATAAGAACATAGCATCTGGTCTATATATTGAAATTCTCAATTTCTCAACTATCCTCTCATTGTTACAACTGCATAAGCAGACGAAGTGTGTATTTGGAAACACGTTAGAAAAGCTGTAAATATGGATTCAATACAGAAGCTACAACTATTAGCATTGAAGTAAACATGGATCTATATGCATTCTAACGCAAGGCCAAATACATTAAAAGTCTCTTTGCACCTATTTGGTTCACAAGATCACATGGTTTATGAACTGTCCAAGGCAGTGTTTACTCAGCTGTGTTTTCATTTGATATCTTCATCATCATATACTTACAAAGAAACTTAAGAGAATACTACTATAGGACAAATGATGTTGCTACTAACTAATATGGTAATACATGTTGTATCAGACAAACTTCATTGCTCCCTCTGGCAGTAATCCGGTTGCAATTGACTTCACGGGGATGGGAAAAGGTGAGGCTTGGGTGAATGGACAAAGCATTGGGCGATACTGGCCTACTTATGTCTCACCAAATAGTGGCTGTACTGACTCATGCAATTATAGAGGGGCTTATAGTTCATCCAAATGTCTCAAGAATTGTGGAAAACCATCGCAGACATTGTAAGTGTTATATTCTAGATACGACAAGTTGAAAGGAATCCTGAATTGTTTAAGAAAGTGAAGGCAATCCTGTTAGATACTTATTAACTAAACTAATCCTGCAGATACCATGTACCGCGAGCATGGTTACAACCAGATAGCAACACTCTTGTATTGTTTGAGGAAACTGGAGGAGAACCTACGAAAATCTCTTTTGCCACAAAACAGATAGGAAGTGTGTGTTCACACGTATCTGAATCTCACCCTCCACCAGTAGACTTGTGGAATTCAGATGCAGAATCAGGAAGAAAAGTAGGGCCTGTACTCTCACTGGAGTGCCCTTATCCTCATCAAGTCATTTCTTCCATTAAATTTGCAAGTTTTGGAACACCTCAAGGGACTTGTGGGAACTTCAAACATGGACAATGCAAGAGCAATAAGGCTCTATCCATTATGCAAAAGGTGTTACCCAGCTTCCTCTTTAAATAAGAAGTTACTATATAATATATGCCTTTTGTGTATTTAATTTGCCTTTTCCTTTTTCAATATATGCTGACTCTAATGAGTATTAACATTTAACAGGCTTGCATTGGATCAAGCAGTTGTAGAATTGGAGTATCTATTTATACATTTGGAGATCCATGTAAAGGAGTAGAAAAGAGTTTAGCTGTTGAAGCTGCTTGTGCATTGGCTAGTCGCTTCAAGCCTTCCCACTTCCTAGCTTAGACTTGGCTGAAGAGCACTGCTCATTGTTGAAGATGGTTCCTAATTACTTGATTAGCCAAAGCAAAATGGTATTCTGGTAGTAAACAAGGTGAAAAAAATGTCAATCTCGCTTATGCATGATGTGTGATCATGGTACTTTTTACTCCAATGGAAGGTTTCTAATTCACTAAACAAGAATTTGTTCTCACCCATCAGTGTGAGAAACAAAAGGGCTATTTATGATAACAACAATTTGTTCAGGAAACTCCTATCATGATTATTAAGATTCCGTGCCCAAAGCCCTTTTGATTATTTACATAGATGATTTTTTTTTTTCCAAAATATGGATAATAATTTTTTGTGATATAAAAATAATTGGATATCTTTGATTTCGACAAAAAGTACCAAAATCTTCATCATTCTTGCCCACCAAGTCTAGATGACTTTAAAGTGACTCACAACTGAATTATCATGTCATTTATGTATAAAAGAATAATGAACTATTTGATTTAGTGTTTAACAGTGTTGTTTAAGTCCCCCATTAAAGCAATTTTTTTTTTAAGAAGTTAGCTTTTAAAGTTAATGTTAAATTTTAGCCCAAATTTAAAATAATATCAAATATTGGATTATCCTTAACTGCAACGTTCAAGTGTTGAAGTGAATTATGTAATATAATATTAAGGGTTACGTATAGTCTTGTCCGGTATATCAATTTATCCTCATTCTAATTTCTGCACGCCGCGCCAGACAAAAATTACTTTTTAGTTTTTATCATCAAAGGGGAAGAAAAATAAAGTTTTTTATTTGTTATTTTTAATAACAAATTTGCCCAGGATGTGATTCCAAACTCGTAGTGACGGTGCAAATGCAAATAGATAGGTACTAATTATTTCATCTTTTTTAGTGTAATATTTTAAATATTTTTTTAATCAGTATCCATTTTTTATAATCAATATAATAAAAATTAATATTAAAAATCAAAACTAATTTTCAAAATATAACTTTAGTATTAATAAAAAATAATAATAATAATAATAATAATAATATTCAAAATGAAATACTTAAAATTTGTCCTTTCATTCAAACTCATCATCCATAGTCCAAGCAGAACACACCACATGCAATAAGCTAAAAATCTGTTACTTGGCAAACTCAAAAGTAGCAACTAGCAAGCTCTCATAGAAGACAACACAAGGAATGATTGAAGACAACCATAACAATGACAACCCTTTACTTCTCAGCTTAGGATCAATCGCCTATGTTGGCTTAACTTACCTCTACCCACTTGTTTCCTTTCGCATCGTTCTCCAGCATTGTCATCTTTTCAACGTTCTTTATTTCCGACATTATCTATTTAAAAAAGGGGTTTGTGAGAGTTTAATTTTACTATACTGTTAATTTAAGAATTTTTATGCTATCAATTAATTAAAATATATTATAAATATAATTTATATATTAATTATTTTATAAATTGATATTTTTTATCGTTGAAATCAAGTACAAGTAAAAAAGTATTATTTTAAATAAAATAAAAAAGTTAAACATCATAGAAATATAAATGACAACTACTCACACCTCAAGAGTTTGAAGGTTTTTTGGTTGAGTAGGGTCTCCAAGTATGCTTGCATGTTGGAGATTTATTTTAGTGTTTTAGCCCCTCGTGAAAAATAAAATAAAAATAATAATTAATTAACATTCATATCATCTCATGCAACTTCTGCAATAAAGTTCTTAAGGTGTTTCCTGAATCATTCCTTAAACTCAGAAAGGGCATAATGAGAGGTACAGAGATAGTGTTGGTTTTGGTTTGGTTGTTTTGTGTTGATGCCTCTGCTTCCTTTGGCAATGTAACGTACGATCACAGAGCATTGATGATCGGTGGGAAGCGCCGAGTCTTGATATCTGGTTCTATTCATTACCCTCGTAGCACTCCAGAGGTATATGTGTGTGTGTGTGTGTGTGTGTGTTTTCACTTTGGATTACTAAACAGTGCTAATATATATTGTGTTTGAAGATGTGGGAAGACCTTATTCAAAAATCCAAAGACGGAGGAATAGATGTGATCGAGACCTATGTTTTCTGGAACTTACACGAACCTGTTCGAGGCCAGGTTTTCATTTTTCTCTCAAAATCTACAGTTTGCAAAGTTGATGAGTTCGTTATATATGTTGAAGGTTTACGCAAATTATGAGAAGTAGAAAATTTTGGTAAAGAAAGAAGAAGAATAGAAATACGATGATTTTATTATTTGATACATGTAATACATGAATTTGGTTCATTATTTATATTAGTATCAAAATAACTCTTAATTTATATCAAATAATTAATTCATCATTAGATGTTGAATGGTTAGAAACTAAAAATTATAATCTTTCATTAAAGAGTTAATATGAAATGGGAGAAGAGAGAAATGAATAAAAAAGTGTCCCCCAGTAACTGTGACGGATAGAGCCTTAATATGATTTTTATACTAATTTATAATTTTTTAATATAATTAAATATATTTTTATATGAAATTGATATTAGTACTACCGAAACAATGGTCTACTTATGATTATGAATTTTTTATTATTTGATTATTTATTATTACTTTTTATCTTGAAAAATATGTAATATGATTTTTATACAAACTTAATATTTTATCTAACTAAATTTTATAATAATTTATTATTTAATATATTATATTTATAAACTCGATTTTAATTTAACGACGATTGAATCATAAATTATTGTCTCTGTTAGTTGTATGATTTTTTTAAAAACATTGCTAATTACCAAAATTAGTACTTTTTACTTAAATCTTTATTCCCGTTAATCCATTTTTGGACATAACCTTGAACCACAGTCACTAGATTACATCCAAAATTATGTACTGAAAGACATCGAAGTATATAAAATCTTTAATCTATTTTAAACTGAGCAACGGGAAACTTGGAGGATCACTTGGTTTTTGACATTATTCTAACAGGTATTAGTTAAGAAAAAGTGTGAAAGACTCCTCAGCATTTCATACTTTTAACTACACTGTTCATGCTATACTCTTAATTTCAATCCAAAGAGACACATTCACATTTAACCATAGACAGAACATAGTTGTTGATATATTATACTGACATCAAATCAATGATGAATTTTCATTTACATGCTTTGGCAGTATAATTTTGAAGGGAGGGGTGATTTGATCAAATTTGTGAAGACAGTAGCAGCAGCAGACCTATATGTTCATCTCCGGATTGGTCCATACGTATGTGCTGAATGGAACTATGGGTAAAAATTGGATTTAAATCCTTTCTGTTCTGTGTATATTTTTGCATGGACAAGATACATAGTTTTATTTTCATATTTTCTTCTCCTACGAGTGCTTATGCATAAGCTTATCCAAACTGGATTATAACTTATGACCATAGTCTTTAACTTCTTAACAGCGGTTTCCCACTTTGGCTGCATTTTATTCCGGGAATTCAGTTCCGAACTGATAATGAACCATTCAAGGTAATGCTTCCTTGCTCTCTATATGACTCATCCTGTTACACCTACTTCCTGCTATGTTGTAAAGTTGAATCGTTTCTTCAGGCAGAAATGCAACGATTCACTGCTAAGATTGTGGATATGATGAAGCAAGAGAACCTCTATGCATCACAGGGAGGGCCTATAATTTTGTCTCAGGTTTTTTATGTTTTATTTATTATTAAATTTATTGAAGCATGCTTATAGATAATCTACATGGCCATCTTCATATTTTTTAGTAAGATAATTTTTTTAAGTATTTTCTAATGCCAGGTTGAAAATGAGTATGGGGATGTTGATGGGGCCTATGGTCCTGCTGCTATATCTTACATCGATTGGGCAGCATCAATGGCTACATCTCTTGATACAGGAGTTCCATGGGTCATGTGCATGCAGGATGATGCTCCTGATCCAATTGTAATTCTTCTCTTCTCCTGTTCAAATAATTGTTATGCGGTTAATGTTTTAATTTATGGTCTGTTTAATCTTGCTATGTTACTGTTTTCAATCATCTTATTTGCTTCGTTAACTGCCAGATTAATACATGCAATGGATTTTACTGCGATCAATTCAGACCAAACTCCAAGACAAAACCAAAAATTTGGACTGAGGGTTATAATGGATGGTTAGCTAGCTCTCTTTTCTATGAGGCATTTACTTGTCTGAATAGCATTCTCAAAATATGATGTGATTTAATGTGTTTCTCCTTTCCGTTTCTCATTTAAACTTCTTGTTGTTTTTCTTACAACCTTTTTGAATTTTTTGCACTGCTAGGTTTCTTTATTTTGGTGGTGCTGTAGCTTACAGACCTGTGGAAGATCTTGCATTTGCCGTGGCGCGCTTTTTCCAGTTAGGTGGAACTTTACAAAACTACTATATGGTAATGAAACCTTACATTGTTTTTTTATTTATTATCATATGATTAAAAAATAAATAAATCTTAACTACATTAGAAAAGAAACTAGCTAATACCATAACATTTTTGTTGCTTGCACTGAAACAGTACCATGGAGGGACTAACTTTGGCCGGACAGCTGGTGGACCGTTCGTTGCTACTAGCTATGATTATGATGCACCAATTGATGAGTATGGTATGCAGTTCTTAATCTTCATATTGCATATTTATTGTTGAAACTGAAGATACTATAAATATACTACTCAACCTTGCCTTGGTATGTAATCAAGAAGATAAGTACACAGTAAGTAGAAGACAAAAAGATTATAGTTTTTAATTTAAGTATTTTAACTGAATGATGCAGGAATTATAAGACAGCCTAAGTGGGGCCACCTTAAAGATGTGCACAAGGCCATAAAGTTTTGTGAAGAAGCATTAATAGCTACTGATCCAGCAATTATATCTCTTGGTCCAAATCAAGAGGTATAAGTTTCCTATTTAATAGGCTAGATTTTTTACTTAACTTCTACAGGGTCTATTGTTCATTTGTCATAGGTTTCTCTAGTTCCCTCATCCTTCCCAACTTTGTGAAAGTTTCATTTTATTGATTGTGAAAAAATGCTGGTGCTAGATGCTAATAATCATTCACTTCTGTTAAATTTCTTATTTTCTATAAATATTACCCTCAACTACATAGATGATGCATGTGTTTTAATATTTAAACACAGGCTGCAGTTTACAAGACAGGAGCCAAATGTGCTGCCTTCCTTGCCAACATCAACTACACATCCGATGCAACAGTGAATTTTAATGGCAATGCATACGATTTGCCTGCCTGGTCTGTGAGCATCTTACCAGATTGCAAGAATGTAGTGCTTAATACTGCAAAGGTTTGCTCATCAACTAACCAATCAAAGTGGATGGTTAATTCACTGGAGTTACTTTACGAAGTGTATATTAATATTCATTTGTCAATGTCTAGGGTCAATATCAGTTGTATTATTTTCTATTGCAAGAAGCATGTAGCATCAACTAAAGTATTTTTGGTATGACAGATTAATTCTGCATCTATGATTTCTAGCTTCATAACCGATTCTTTAAAGGAAGAGGTTAGTTCTTTGGAGGATTGTAGCCCAGGTTGGAGCTGGATCAGTGAACCTATTGGTATTTCAAAGGCTGATTCATTCTCAAAATTTGGATTACTGGAGCAAATAAATACAACTGGTGATAGAAGTGACTACTTGTGGTACTCATTAAGGTATATATTATGCCTCCAAGGTTGAGAAAACTTTCTTCTGACCTGCAATTCTCTGCCGCATGATAACACTTGATCATGATTTTTTTCTGAAGCATTGATATTGAAGATGATGCTGGTGTTCAAACTGTCCTTCACATTGAATCCCTTGGTCATGGTCTACATGCTTTCATAAATGGGAAGTTTGCAGGTAAATAAAGTTCAAGGCAATGACATCTGATGATATGTTTCAAAAACCATGTCTTATATGCGTCCTTCCTAAATATTCGTTTTTTTGTCTCTCAAGTTGTAATAACAAAGGTGTATGGTGTATCTAATCCTTATCTTCCTGCTTTGTGCGGTCATAGGTGATAGATAGTAGATTAGTAATTTGAAACTATAAAATTCATTCATGGCTGCAGACCAAAATACAAAAATTCAATATCTTGCTGTTATACTATTATGCAACCTTAATGGATGAAACATTTTAATGTATATTACCTGATCAAATCACTCAAATTACACTTAACACTCAGTACTCACCAGTTTTCTCAGAAGCAGTTGAAAATATTTTGTACCCAATCCTTGGTTCATTAAATGTACAAAAGAAGACTTTTTAAGAAAATGATATCTTTGCACTTGTCATGTACAATTTGATCCCTTTAAGGAGGGAGGTAAAATAAAATCAAGGTTATGTATGATCAATTGACCATGGTTGTTCCTACCTTTCAATTAAAAATTTCATGAACTTTCTAATAATACATAATACTTATCTGTGTTGTTAAAACTCTTTCAGGGAGCGGAACAGGCAACAGAGACAGTTATAAGGTCAATGTGGACATCCCCATCACACTTGTGTCTGGGAAGAACACAATTGATCTCCTCAGTTTAACTGTGGGACTTCAGGTTCACCTTTTCTATTCTTACTGTAATGCATAAGCATTTAAGACAGACAACACATTGGTCTGTATTATGCATTGACTTGTCATTTCCTCCCCTTGAGATTTGTGATTTCTCATTACTACATTATCTAATGTGAACATTATACGACAACATCAGAACTTTGGAGCTTTTTTTGATACATGGGGTGCGGGGATCACTGGTCCAGTAATATTGAGAGGTTTGAAGAATGGCAGTACTCTTGATCTCTCCTCCAAGCAGTGGACATATCAGGTTATATTCTATGCTTTAAGCCTATTATTTTTCTCTGTCCTTTTGATAACTTCATTAAGTAAATAGATATTACTGAAATAAATTGAATTTCATTTTTCTTTTTTATTGAAATTTTAGAATGTATGACCAATGTTTTTGTGAACGCAGGTTGGCCTTAAAGGTGAAGACCTAGGTCTTCCTAGTGGCAGTTCTGGAAAGTGGAATTCACAATCTACCTTACCTAAGAATCAACCCTTGACTTGGTACAAGGTAATATTTAATAAGAATATATTGAATTTATAGTTTTTCTAATGTGTGCTTAAAAGTACAAAATAAGAAATCAATAAATTATATTTATTGAAAATTATAACATTTAACAGTAATAATAATGCATAGTATCATGTGATGTCTTATGATATTTAATAAAATTGCAATATATAGATTTTTATTATGTGATATTGAGTACACCTCAGAAAAACAGCTGAATTTAGATGTGACTTTACTTTTTTATAAGTTTACTCAGCTCTGCTTGCATCTAATATATTCATCTCTGAATGGCATAATACAAAGAAAATTAAGGCTACTAATAGTATTCCATGTTGGTTAGATAAACTTTGTTGTTCCCTCTGGCAACAACCCAATTGCAATTGACCTCACGGGGATGGGAAAAGGTGAGGCTTGGGTAAATGGGCATAGCATTGGACGGTACTGGCCTACATATATCTCTCTAAATAGTGGCTGTACTGACTCATGCGATTATAGAGGATCTTATGATGCATCCAAATGTCTCAAGAACTGTGGAAAGCCATCACAGACATTGTAAGTGTTAGATATTCTAGATGAGAGAAATTGAAAGTAATGTTGAATGAATCGAGGAAAGTAGAGGCAATTTTATTAAACAATTGAGTCAATGATGTTGCAGATACCATTTACCACGATCATGGTTGCAACCAAATAACAACACTCTTGTATTGTTTGAGGAAATTGGAGGCAACCCTACACAAATATCCTTTGCTATAAAAATAATAGGAAGCTTGTGTTCACATGTATCTGAGTCTCACCCTCCACCTGTAGACTTGTGGAATTCAGATACAGAATCAGGAAGAAAAGCAGGGCCTGTACTCCCACTAGAGTGCCCTTATCCTAATCAAGTCATCTCTTCCATTAAATTTGCAAGTTTTGGAACACCTCAAGGGACTTGTGGGAACTTCAAACATGGACAATGTAGCAGCAACGAGGCTCTATCCATTGTGAAAAAGGTGGTATCCAATTTCAAGCTTTTCTCATTGAATAAGAAATTCATATGCCTTTTGCTTAGATATTTTTCATTTCAGTTGAGATTGACACTAATAATCTTTTAACAGACCTGTATTGGATCAAACAGTTGCAGTATTAGAGTATCAATTAATACATTTGGCGATCCATGTAAAGGAGTGACAAAGAGTTTAGCCGTTGAAGCTGCTTGTACGTAGACAAGTTGTTTCAACCCTTACCACTCCCTAGCTCGGATTTGGTTTCAGCTGGAAAGCACTACCCAAGTATCTTATATTGGATTGTTTAGCAATATTTAGAATAAACTCTTTGAATTATTAAATATATCAATTATCCATATTATTAGTTTAATCATAGACTCGACAAGTTGATAGCATTGCAATTGGGCTTTTGTTTTGCATGACTCGTGATAGGTTGGGCCACTAATGTATTGCCCATTGAGAGATCTTTACTCTACCATAAAAAAATTATTTATCCTATTTCCTAATGAGGTATGAAAGATGTATGCCTCTTTAGGGTACACAATTCTAATCTTGATTCGATCTTTAATTAATGATAGAACACGCTACAATCTATATCTATATGATTAAATTGATCTAGAACTACAATAAATTTCCTTCACCTTACTCAGTTGAAGATGCTTCCTCATTACCCAAAGTAAAATAGTAAACCAGGAAATAAATGTCAAACGAAACAGCATATTGTTACTTGCAATAGAAAGAAAGAGAAAAGTCTTGCTGATGCAATGTGTTAGAAGTTTGAGAATTCAGTAGACAAAGAAGATATCAACCTAAAATCAACCAAGGGATAGATAGACACTCACCCTGTTAATATGTCCTACTGTTATCAAGAAATAGAGAAACCTATTTGCAAAAATTGAGCCTCCATAATCCATTTATTGTGGGATAAGTAAAGTGTAGGTCATGGTTTAGAAGATTCAAAAAACTGATTCTTCACATCTTCAATACACATTACACTATTAACTTTTTACGAAAATAATAAAATCATGGGCAACATTTTAGGCCCTTATTTTTGTCTGGAAACAATACAAAGAAACCGAAATATTGCAAAATGTCAATAACTTGATCTTGAAGAATATGTCTTATACTATTCATTATATCAATACTGAGCAATTACTCCTTCACTGCTTGCAATCCCGGATGGCCTCTTGAACCTGCAGCGATTGCAGGATGTTGAAAACAGAGAGAGAGTTTGGTACTTGTCCTCACCACCCATCATTGGCATAGGAACACTTTTCTTAACAGTGCTAACATAGCCAGGCCTATAAGTCTGACCCAAAACTCCTTCAAAATTATCAGTATCTTTTTTAAACTTGAACTGTGTCTCCAAATGAGCAAAAGCATCATCTGGTGGCAATTGGTAATTGTGAACCTTGTTTTCTTTTTCTCCAATAGGCCTAACAGTTATATCCATTTCAACCAAACCTGAAACTCTCACTGTCACACTGTTGGTCTCATCAGTTCTCTCCACAACCACTTCTCTTTGATCACCATTGACCCTCCATTCAGCTTCTCCATCCTTTGGAACGTTGACTAGTTCACCATCCCACTTTATAGTAAGAGTGTCAACGCTGTCCTCCCAGTGAGATACTCTATTGGCTGCAATAACAAGAGTGTGCGCGTCAAACATGACAGAAAGTGCTTGCACCCATGTATAGTCACGAGTCCTTCCTTGTGGTCTAGTACCAATGAAATGGGCATTGATTTGGAATTCATCATCAGAAACAATGGCAAAGTTTCCTCCTTTGGCACCGTGGAAGTAGAACATCACGCCGTCACCGCCAACAAAGCGAGGATCATAGCACAGTGCACCATACCCATCACAGTTGGCTTTTCTAGCTGCCAAACAAACAAAAACTCAACATGAGCTCAACTCTCTTCTCACTATGAAAAGTCTTTGATTATGGGTTTGTCTTGAGTTATTTTGTAAGCTAAATAATTTCATCTCAAGTGTTTTAATAAAATTAAGATATTAAAAAATTTTATTTAATTTTTTATAAATATTTTTATCAATTTATTTAAAATAGAGTGATTTATTTATAAAGTAACTTCTATAAACTCCTGGACTCTATATATAGATAGAGAAAGATAAAAAAAAATATTAATTTTTATATCATCAATAACTTTATGTAAAATAAATATAATTAAAGTATTTTTATTTTATGCATTTTAAAAATACATATTTTTATAATTTTAATGTAAATAAATGAAATATTAATTAATTTTAGATTAATTTAAAATTTTAAAATATAATTTATATAATAATGTTTTTAACTTATGCAAAATTATATGTAGTAAAAACTTATATATAGTAAGTTTTATTAAAAAAATTATAGATATTATTAAATTTTATAACTTTAATAAAAATAATAGTTTGTTAATTTTTATTATGTATAGTTTCAAAATATTTATATAATAGAAAATTTTAATAGCATGATTTGATTTTAAAATAATATAAGAATGAATAAAAGTCCTTGGAACTTACTCTTGCATTTGGCTTCACATTTGGGGTTAGAGCAATCGATGAAACATGCCTTCTGCTTCTTGTTTTTCTTAGGCTTCCTAATTGCGCACTCGGGTGGACACACGATGGTCGTACCCTTACACGTAGTGTTTAGTGCGCAGAACCCTCTTTCTTGACCCGATGGAAGAGGTGACAAGCTCTTATAATTCGATGCTTCATTATCACCCTTCTTTGGCTTCTTCTCTTTTTTCTTTCCTTTATCCTTTTCCTTGCTTCCTTTCTTATCCTTTCCCTTCCCATTGTCATTGCCATTGCCATTGCCATTACCATTACCCTTCCCTTGATCATTACCTTTACCATTTCCTTGAGGACCTTGAGCAATGGCAGCTTCCATAGCAATGAGTAAGATGAACAACGCCACCATAAGGCTCCACTTTCTTCCACCCATTTCCCTTATCTATTATGCTATTGTTTTCAACCTTTGCTTTGATGACTATTTTTCAAGTATTAATTGCTTCAATGAATGAGAAGATAAATAGATTGAGATAGAAGTAGTGCAAGAGAATATTTATAGAGAATTTATCGTGCAAATTGACCTTGAAGTTCGGCTTAAGCTTTGCTACTACCCTTTTTCTAAACTCTTCAAAACTTTGTGGTTGCTTAGTAGTGTAATATATCGTGGACTATTCAATGCTGAATTTTTAAATATACCCCAATAACGAAATTTGTTGACTAAGTTACTAGCTGTTCCAACAGTTTCCTCCTATGAAAATCTTGAATGGAGTAGCACGTTCTTTTATGGCTCTAGTCTCTAGAAAAGACGCTGGAGTATTCAAATGGAAGGCTTTTTATTGAAGATTAAAGGCTCATTATTATAGACACAAGAATTGAGCACCTCAACACCTAGATGCCAAAGGAAGCACGCATGCAAGCATATGGCGTCAAGGTAAATTAAACTTTCATTTTTCTTTTTTGGCTGAGCTTCAACACTAAGCTACACGTTAACGTCATGGTCACAATTGTGTCACGTATTAAAGGTAGTTTAAGGGTGACTTAAGAGTACTTATTGGAAACGTTTCGATGAACGTTAGCAATAATCAATAATCAATTTAGCTGTAGTTTTAATAGGGTTTTGAGTTGAGAAGAAGCAGCTTTGATTGATGGCATGAAGGGAAGAGATCCAGCTCCGACTACTTTATGGAAGTCAACGGCACAACAGGTGAAGCCGACAACCTTTGCGTCTTATTTGTTGGTTCAGTCGGCACAGATCGATAAAAGCATTTGGCTTCGTATCATTTTCACTTTAATCACCCTTTAATTTTGACTAAATTATCACTTTAATCCTTAATTTTTTTTAATTTTGTTTAACGTATTTTCAATTTAATAAAAAATTATTTTAATTCCTAAGTTATTAAATAAATTATCACATTTTTATCTTAATAAACTCATTAATATACATTAAATGTCATGAGTTTAACATATTGACTGTCAATTGGACTAATAATGAAAATTAAAGAATAAACATCAACAAATAAAAAGATAATATAAACACTTTAGGACTTTGTGAGAAGAGATAAATTTTAATATTTATGATCTTAAGAGTCGCATCGTATATTTTTTAGATATAGCGTGTCATTTAGTACTGTTAAGTTGAAATTTAGTGAGTTAAATAAATAATTTTATTAACTTTTGCTAAAATGGTTGAATGAAGAAACAAATTTGAGGTATATTCCAATAAGTTTGGGATGAAAATATTTTTTTTATTAATTAAGCACTAGACAATATTAAATTAAAGTGACGATTTTCTTTTTAAAATTTTTAAGTAGTACTTCGTAGACATCTGTAAGGAGATCTTTGGTAGACATTGAAGCGTTGATATTCAATAGGAAGAGAAGAGAAATGTGATAAATGATGTAACAGGAGACATATTTTAATTAAATATTTATTTAATAATTTTTTATAAATTTTACTATAAAGGAATTTAAAATAAATTAAAAAATATTTATTCGAATAAATGAAAAAAATGCAAGTGCAGCTTCTTATTTTATTATTGTATTGAATTTGATTAAAACATAAATTATCTAAAACTAGAATCTAAGATTTTGCTCGAATAATATCAAATTTGTTTAATTTTTTAAATTTTGTGATGTTATTTTTTTTTAAAAAAAATTTATTAATATAATATTTTCTCAGTAATACATGTCATCTTCGCTACTAAGCAGCAAATGGCTAAACTTAAAGTTATCATTTTAAAGACTGAAATTTCCATAGACTTTTTAACTTCACCAGCATAAACCCACTGTTGTACGTGATCTAACCTAAATCGTTCTTTATGAACACAGTTTATCGTCCCATCCAGATGATAATATGGAATTTTTCCCTCTTTGGCGGCGCTTTCTCTGTTGTTCTTCATCACTAACTTAAACTTTGTTGGATCTTTAATTGTAATTCTTAAATAAATGATAATATTTTATTATAGTTATAATAATTTAAGTTAATTTGTAAACTAAAGATGCTTCCTTTTTACAAAGGAAAAAACAAAACACAGAATATGCAAACTGTTTAAAATTAGAAGCATAAAAATTGCTTTTAAAAGATCATCTAAAGAGTGAAAAAAAAATCTTCAAATAAGAATATCAAATGAGTTAATTTATAAGTTAACCTAAAAAAGATAATTTATCAAATATTAAGTTAACTTTGCCGACGGACAAATGAGTATATGACACGATGAATAGTTAAAATTAGTTTATTTTTTATTTTTTAAATGTTATGAAACAAGTTTATTCTCATTTTATCAAACTTAATTTACTATCAATATTTTTATTTTGAAAATATCATCTTCTCTTATTGATTTTAAATTTCAATTCCTATCAACCATATTTTTTATAAATATAAAACATTTTATAAAAATATAAAATACGTTCTAACAAACAATACTAAAACATTGACTTAAATTTACAGATCAAATACTAAATATCATGTTGCGTATATATGGTTGTAGAATGTAATTACAAATTATACTGCAGATAGTTGTAATTAATTGAAAAATAGTGACCAATATGATGAATTCCCATCCTTCTGTTGTACAAGTACAAACCTCAATGAGCTCATTTCCTTGAATATTTTTTTGTAAAAAAGAAAATTTTAAAAGAAATTATAAAATATATTTTTAAAACTTAAAAAAAATGATTTTTATACTAGTTTAGACTACATATTTATCATAATTTTAAAAAATAATAACAATGAAAAATATTTAAATTTAATTTAAAAATACTCCATTTTAATAAAAATATGTATTTTCATATAATGGTCTAAACTTTTTATTAAATAGTATTTTGTTAACCTCAATTTTTAGAACTGAATTTAAACATTTATAAATAAATTTTTTTATAAAAAAATATATAATTAGTATATTAAAATTATAAAAATATAATAAATATTTTTCTTTCTAATAAAATTTTACTATTATTAGTTGTTTATCTTTGATTTTAAGAATTAAAGTTAATAAAATCTTACTAAATATTATAAAAATAACAAAAATATTAAGTATTAAAACTTGTTAGATATTGATTATTTGATTTTAATACAAGACACATTTTGGATATTAATATAATTAATACTATGAGAGTTATTTTTATTAGGTTCTATAACAATCAGAATAGTGAATCTCAGATAAATCTTAAAGGTTTTATCTTGGGAGAAAAAAAGTTGATAAATTAAATTGAAATTTAAGTAAAAATCAAAGAAACAAAAAGCTAATTTTGTTTTGTATATATTGCCCAAATAAATGTAAAATAAAGTTTAAACATGATTTAATCTTTAAAATATATTTTTTAAAATGAAATTAATAATTTTTAATTTTAAAAATTAAAAATGTTTTTAATTATTTTTGTTAATATACATTTAAAAATAAACAAAAATAAAATAAATTAAAAAATTCACAATTTTAAAAATAAGAAATGTTATAGTCTCAAATTAAAATTAAAAAAATATTAATATCAACATTTAAATTTAAATGTAAGTAACTAATAATAATAAATTTTTAATAAAAATATTTATTATATTTTTAATGTAATAAATATGAAACTATGCTATGCTATATTTGTTATGCAAACCTTTTAAATAGCTCTCTAGTGTTTGATAAAAAAAAATATTTATTATTTTAAGAATATAAAATTATTTAATATTTTTTTTAATGATGATTAATTTAAAAATTTTATTAATTTTAATTTTTAAGATCAAAATAAATAATTAATAATAATAAAATTTTATTAAAAAAATATATTTATTATAATTTTAATATAATAACAGTATATTTTTTTAAATACTTACATTCAATTGAAGTTAACAAAATTTTTAATTTAAATATATAAGATAAAAAAATATTCATAAATATTTTTTAATAAATACTTTGAATGCTTAAAATTACTCTTCAACTGCTGTAACAATAATGGCTTTTGGGTCCCGAAACGGGTGAAGGCAACTTCTTCTTCCTCGGTTGCGGTTCCCAAATATTCATATTTTTGTTTCTCTTTCTCTCTTCTCTTCACTACTCACTTCTCTCCCTCAATCCCAATTTCCACTTTTCATCACTAACCCTTCACTTATTTTCCCCATTCTCTTCCATCTAGGGTTTCTCGATTAGGATCCTCAATTGCAATTCCTTTCTCATTTTTGTTTCCGGCGATTGAATTTGCGAATCAGGGTTTCTGGGTCTCCGAAAGACCCTCAATTCGTGCTGGAAATCTGGGTATTTTGGAGCTGGGGTGAGAGGGCTATCCCAGTTTGTCATTCTCGCCCGCAAAAGGAGGTAACTTCATGAACATTGTAATGCATATGTCATTTTCATATATCCTTGAAGGTTGTGTGTGAATTTATCAATTTTTTTTCTCCCATGCTTACCCATTTGGTTTTTAGGTTTTTAATTAAAGGGCTTTTTTTTGTTTGTTAATTTCTTACTCTGTTCCTTTTTCATGCTAAAGGTCAACGAAACCTGCTACGATTGTTATAAACTGGAGTTATCATCACAATGTTGTGTGTGAATCGTAGTAGTGGTTTTTATATCTCTAGCCGTGTTCTCCACCTAGCTGAATGGCACCCGTTAGAATAGCAACGTTGAGTAGGGCTTGAAGCCCTCTTCTGTCCTCTGAAATCAGGTGAGAATCATCTCTTAAGTGTTTCATCCGTTTGATAAGATTATAGATTTTGAAGATTTTTTTTTATATTGTTGGCATAATAAAATGTTCTTTTGCAGTTTTTCAAGTTTTTAGGCTGAGAGATACATCAATCACCTTTAAGGTCAAAGCTTCAGATGTTCAATAAGGCTCTTTCTTTTGCCAAAGCAATGGAGTGCTGTAATTGCTTTGGGTTCATTAGGAGACTGAGCCGTCAAAGTCAAAGGTCTAAGCCTGCTATCAACAATAATCTCTCCCAGGAGCTGTTGTTGGATGACGACATTGAAGATGAAGAGCACTTGTATAATAATGACGACGCCAATACCACTAGCGGAGATGACAGTGAGGAAAAAACCCGTCCCAAGAAATCGGAAGAAATTTTGAACATGAGAGTAGAGAATGGCATGATTTGTAGGCAGTTTCCCGTTAAGGAGACTCACAAAGTTGTTCGCAGAGAGGTACATATTTTGTTGGAGTAACTTTATAGCTTTTGCTGTAAGCTTAATTTTCAATTTTGATGTATAGTCTAACATTAAGACTAGGTTGGTTAGTGGTTTTCATACATTGAATGATCTTGAGTATATTACTGGTGAAAAAAGAACTCATTGTGTCTGCAGAAGTCATATCTTCAGTGATTTTTAATTGATTGATAGTATAAAAATCTTTATACTGACAATATATCATAATTAACTCTTAATTTAAATACAAAAGAAACATTTATCACTTTTAATGGAATTCTGTGTGTCAAAGGAAAATTGGGTTGAATTTTTATATCCTATATGCTGTATGCATCTTCTTTTGTGATATACATGAAGTTGTGGCTGATTATTTGAAATGTTTTTGGTCATTGTTGTCATTTTGGTGTTTTGATCTCTGTTTCCTCAATTGTAACCATAAATTTTCAGAGTTTATATCAAGGGTATTAATCTTGCAATGAATTATATATACGACTCAAACACACAATTAAAAGTCACGGGTCTGTTCCCATCTGAATGTTTACTTGTATTCAGGAAATGATTCTCTATTGTAGTTAATATCTTTTCTGTCAGAGGCCTTATTGAACTTTTATTGCTCTTTCAGGATGAAAATGGAAACAAGATGATAAATGAGTATATTCGTGAATATAAGATTGGTTCTGGTAGCTACGGGAAAGTGGTAAGCATAGTATTCATAATACTTAACTGCTTATCCTGTCTCTCAAGGAAAACAGTTTTCCTGAGCCTCTTTCCTTATGTGCATGACAGGCTCTTTATCGAAGCTCTGTTGATGGAAAGCATTATGCAATTAAGGTAAGGAAACATTTTGGTGTGGGTCGACAGATTACTGTAGGAAACATGGTCATATGGGCATGGTTTTTTTTACAGGGCTGTATTGAGTAATTTATATTACAATAGTTACCAAGATAATAGTGCAGTTGGTCATTTATTGAGCTGAAAATCTTTTGAATTGAAGGCCTTTCATAAGTCTCATTTACTGAAGCTTCGAGTTGCACCCTCAGAAACTGCCATGACTGATGTACTACGTGAGGTATATTTCATACCTGTCACTTTATGGGTACTCTTCTTGTAGCATCTATTTTTATTTTTGATTCTGTTTGTGCAATAGCAATTAGGTCCCTTTGGGAAAGTAGACATGTTCTTCCTTTGACAAATTTGTGCCTCCCATTTTGAGAAAGAAAATTCTTTTGTATAGGTTTTACAGTTTTTTTTTTCTTCCTGGTTTGTGCATTTATATTATATACAATGTTTGCTTACTTTTGATTTTTTAGCTGTTGTGCCACTGTCCCTGCATTATGTTAAAAGGAAAATACTTTTTTATTCAGGTTCTCATTATGAAAATGCTGGAACATCCGAATATAGTGAATCTCATTGAGGTGATTGATGACCCGGAGTCAGATCGCTTCTACATGGGTACTGATGACTAGTTTACTCTTCTTGGTTTTGTTATTTAGCGAATGACTGCTACCACTATATTTTCTGTGTTTTTGAGCCTTATGTTTCTACTGTAGAATATCTTTGAAGTGCTATGCTTGACTGCTGATTTTCTTATACAGTACTTGAATATGTGGAAGGCAAGTGGGTTTGTGAGGGTTCGGGTCCCACTTGTGGCTTAGGTGAAGAGACTGCTAGGAGATACTTGCGTGATATAGTTTCTGGATTAAGATATCTCCATGCTCATGTAACATTTCTGTACCAATCTTTCTCTCTCTCTCTCTCTCTCACACACACACACACAATTTTCTGTATACCAATAAAAATAAATGATGATATTTATTCTAAACAAAAAGGAAAAAAAACTTGTAAAATGACATCATTTATGTTAGATGTTCATACTGTCATTTATGAATATGTTTAAAATAGTTTGATAGTGTTAGTGATTGTTTATTTATTTATGGAGAAGCAGAATATAGTACATGGGGATATTAAACCAGATAATCTGTTGATTACTCGTCATGGTACAGTGAAGATAGGAGATTTCAGTGTCAGCCAAGCTTTTGAGGTAATGTAATTACTGAGACCAAATATAAATTTGATTACTTGAAAGTTGAAATGAAAAATATCCTAGCCTGGTGAGTATACTTGGACATTAGTGTTTCTTCAACTGCAACATGGGAGACTTTTTCTACGTGAAAACTGAAATACGATTGCACACCATGTGTGAAGTTTGAAATGTGATTATTTGAAAAATATGAAACTATGAAAGCTGATAACATTCTGTCAGTTGAAATTAAAGTTAATAATGACTTTTAAAAGAAACCTCCTATCTTGTTAACTTTGCTTCATTGAGCTATATCATGGACCCTCATTAAAAATATTGATGTGGGATTATATTGGAATCATGCACCAATGATCCAGGGGCAGTGGGAGGCTGTTTCTAAGGTCACCCCACTATTGATCCAAACCTTGTTTGTAAGAGGGCATCCCCCTCCCCTAACCTTTTCCCTTTTAATTTTTGTAAATTCTTGTGATTCTGATTCCACTCTTGCGAAGACCATGACCATAACTTAATACCTTAATTTTCCATCAGAAGTTGCAATGACAGAAATTAGCTAATTTGAGTGTGAGGTTCAAGACATCAGAACTTGTGATTTTTCCTAAATGATTAATCCATTCTCAACTGTCAGTTATATAATACATTTTTGCTTAATTTGTTAACATAGTTCATGTACACTTCTTGGTATAGATGTTGCTGACATTACACGAGTGTTAACTTAGGAACTCCTATGGAGCATGCAATTCATTTCTTTTTGTCATCTTGGAGCATGCATAGTTATCAATATCGGATTGCAGAGCAGAGTGGTTGATTGTAAACACACAACAGGATGACCATTATCCCAAACCCAAAGATTATGGATACAGATCAATAATTTATGCATACAAATTCTCAAAAATAAAAAATTACCCAAGAATAAAGACCTTCATGATTAATAATCAAAGATCTTAATCTTATTCTGAACACACAACCATCTCAATCTAAGTTATTAATTAACAAGTCTAAGAAGTAACAATAGCAGCAACATGGTTGTGGTTGAGTGGATGATGGTATAGATGCCAAGAAAAATGAGAATATAGAAGGGAAGTAAAAAAGATGGAATTGATAATAGAACATGAAATACATGAGTGTAGACTATTCATGCAGGCTTGAAGTGTTAAGAAAGAACAGAAGACTAGAAAAATAATACTGAAGAACAAAGACCTCTATACAAGAAGAGAATAGAGTTAGAGATCAATGAGCTGTGTTGTTATGCATGCTAGAACAGAGGAGTGGCCTGTAACCATAGTTAACAATTTCAAATAGGATGTGTAATGGTCAACCCCAAATCACTGTAGCAGATATATCGGGATGTGGAATTACTACTATACTAAAGTTTTGAGATACAATTACGTAGTTTATATTGCACATACATAAATGCTCAAAAATAAAATAAAAAAACCCGAAATTGAAGATATTTTTAATTAATTATCAAATGTCATGGTTTTAACATGCAAGATAATAACAATAGAAAACAAAAGCTAAATTAGTTTAAGTTATATATAAGAATATATAATATCTATTAAACACATACAACATAAATATCAAGATCTTGTTCTTATCTGTTAATGCATATGACATAATTGAACATTCATGGTTTACCCTTTCTTTCTTGGGTTCTTTAACACTTCTTGTGTAGTCCAATTCCTTTTAAAGGAAAGGAGGTGAGGAATTCTCAACTCAAAAGCTTGGAACCTTTGTGTGGGTCATAGTTTCCAATAGCATGAACCGTCAACCAAAAACTGCTTGAATGCATAACATTGAAAGAAATTATTATATTCCTAAAAACCATTGTTCTGTGTACTTGATGGTTCTTGCCCTTGCTTCTTTGTCACAAGCATCATTTCTCTTGGCCTTTCATAATCTAGAAATCTGATCTGAATTGGAAAATTCAGATCTTATCCTAATCTGTACTATTCTTCCTAACTTTTCCAACAAACTTTTAATGGATTCATTTTGCAGGATGATAATGATGAGCTTCGGCGATCACCTGGAACTCCGGTTTTCACAGCACCAGAATGTATTTTAGGTTGCTGTTTTCTTTTCAAGATTGTAAGCTACTGCTGCTGGGGAGTTGGAAGTACTGGTTCACACTGATGTTTTTTTTGTTATTCTGTTATGTATTTAGGTCTTACCTATCATGGTAAAGCTGCAGACACATGGGCAGTAGGGGTTACTTTATACTGTATGATATTGGGTGAATATCCTTTTCTTGGAGACACACTTCAAGATACCTATGACAAAGTAAGAAATACGCACACATAAACACTCCTAACTTTTTCACCAGATAGTATACCTGGCCTTTCATGTTTACTAGTTTTCAGCCTATATCGCTATCTCATCATGCTGATTTCTTCCTGATCCAGATAGTCAATAATCCTTTAGTACTCCCAAATGATATGAATCCGCGACTGAAGAACTTAATAGAAGGATTACTTTTCAAAGGTATATGACATTAAGCATTCTTCTCATACCAAATGACTAAATTTTCCCTGTTAATGCCCAATTAAAAGTTGAAATCTGCAGATCCAAGAGTAAGGTTGACTTTGGGTGATGTTGCGGAAGATAGCTGGGTTATTGGAGATGATGGGCCAATTCCTGAGTACCTTTGTTGGTGCAAAAGGAAGAGCTTGGGGATTGAAGACAATGATGAGAGCAATGTGCTTGCTTGACCTATACTGAACTAAATTATTTAGCAAATTTGTTTGTGTACAGTGGAAAAGTTCAGATATTATTTTTCCCCGTTAGACTCTCTGCTGGTACGGTATGATCGTAGAAGCAGGTCTTGAAGTAATCTTAAAATTTAAGAAATTATGGCTCATAGGCATGATATGTATCAAAGTTAGAAAATAGTTTATTTTTATGTGGAACAATTTGGTGTCTAGTAGAGGTCTAGTATCTTTCTATTTGGATTTTCTTTGCATCTAGTTTTTCCTTCTTTGCATGTACCTCACCTTTCTGTTTAATCCACAGAAACAGACAAATGAGGGATATATTTTGTTTGGGATCATCATGAGCTGGCAGAAGCATGTTTTTATATTTGTACTTTGAATTGCAATTTTAAGCCATTTGATTAGAGAAATTTTAGTGCATCCTTTGTACATTTTCTTTTTGTAACATGTACATATACTAGAAATTATATTCGGAAAGATACTTCACAAACATAATAGGAATTTTCTTTTGACTAATTAATCAAAATCTCCACATTCGTGCATCAGAGAAAAAATGGCACTTTTAGGATTTGTTTGGAAAGAGTTTTTAAAAGGTGAAGACATTTTTTTAATTTTAAATTAAGAAGATTGTATATTATTTATGATGATTAATATATTAAGTTTATGTTAATTTATTATTTTATATCCTTGATTTTTAAAATATTAAATTAACATTTATTTAAAATAGAAAGTTTGCGCTCTTCTTTTTTTTTCTTTCAAAATCTATTTTTATAAGCAACCCCTAAGGGGGAAAAAGGTAGAGAAAATTGCTTTTGAAGTAAAGTTTTGTATTAATTGGATAAAACAAAAGAACTCCATTTTGATTTTATGAGGAAAATTTCCTTCAGAAAATGAGGAGCGTCCTTTTCATCTATTTCTTGTCTGAAGATAACTATGGATTGTATTTTACTCTAGGCCATTTTGAAGAGTAAGTTCATAAAAATATGCATATTTAGTATTTTGGAAGAACGTAATTTTAAATTATAATTTTGGGAGTGTAAATATGTGATAAATAAATGTTTTGCAGCTTTTATGTATTTAATTATATGCACTTAATTGAATATAAAACATAGAGTACCGTATCATTTTTATTCGTGTAGTGTTATTTCTAACGATGTTTTTTCATCTTTTTCTTAATAATAAAGAATGACAAAGGAAAATAAAAGTGAGATAAAACATATTATCTTTTTAATTTTTAATTGAAACTTCCAAACTCGGTTTGTCAAAATGGGGTTTAACATTAAGTAGACTGCACCGTTCTCTTAAGATGTCGACGAATGGCATATAAAAAAAATTGTATAAAATAAAGTTTTAGTCAAATAATTGAGTAAACGTATTTATTTTTGAAAAATCATACGTTTATATTTATTTTAATGCTCATAGTTACAATTTCTGTGTTACATTTATTTTTATATATTCTTTATTGTGTTTTGAAACAGATGTTAAACATTAAAAGCTTTGGGTTATGTTAAAACCACAATGATTGTTTTCCGTACTATTATATTTATTTCACTTCACGCCTATTACTCAGTCAATGTCCGAGGTAGGGACCACACTATTTTTGCAACTTGATATTTAAAAATAGACATTACTTTATTCTAATTAAAACATTTCTTTTAACTTAATATTAAAATTTATTCAATAATATAAATAAAATATTGCAAAATTAGTTCTTTTAATGTAAAAATTTAAATCTAACGAACTCAGATTCTTTGCTAGACTTGATACATGTCTTTGTTGTATATATTTGCATAGAAATGACTTTTGTAAAAATATTTAATTATTAAGAGAATAAAAATAATTAATATAAAATATGAAATTTTATTTAAAAAATAAAAAAAATTGTGAATTGTTCAAATATAATTAATAATTATTGATGCAGAAACATAATGTTATATAATTAAGTAGGTGGCATGGTTGTAGAAGTGGAAAGGGGCCACATGACACAGTGAGGGAGTGACTAACTCTGAAATGTGAAGAGAACTAACATGGATTTTCTGACACACAATATGAAGTACTGCAAAATAACCCACCCATCCCAAATGTCGCCTTTATAAATTAAATATTTGTTCTAATCACTTACTAAGCTTCGTTTTCATTCAAAGAGGAAACAATTAAGACACCACAATCTTTTTGTGTTCAAATATATAATAAATATAAATATTTTATTATTTTAATTCAATCTAAAGAGTTGAGATTAATAAAATAAAAATATTGTTTTAACCATTATATAATGAAATTTTTTTATGAAGATCTAATGGGAAAATTTTATTCTTTTAATTAATTTAAAATTCTATGATTATTAATAATAATTTTATTATTCTTTTTTCTTAAATAATTTTTGACATTCTTTTTTTATTTATTCAAATAATTTATAGTTTACACTTTAAATTTTTTTTTCAATCTTTTCCTTTATTTCAACCTTCCTCCAAACACCCTAATATGGATGTTTGAGTGTAGTAATAGTAAGAAAATATTTGACATGTCGCTAAAAGTATAAATCTGTATGTGTTTCCTTATGTTTTCTGTGTATTTGAGAGATGCATGAATATATAAAATGTATATAAACAATAAAATAATATATATAATATTATATACGGTATTAATTTTGAATGGTTCAAATAAAAAATAACTCATCATTATATTACTTCCATGTAAATCCACATTACCAAAAATCGGTTCTAATTATAGCAATTAGATTGATTAGTAAGTACTACACCTTGTATATTTTAAAAATATTATCTTTTTAACTTTTGGGATGATAAGTTTTAATTTTTTCCTTTAATTTTTATACGTGTGTATATAAAAAAATAATAAGTGAAAGATAAATCAGAAAAATGTTTGATTTTGTCCATTACAAATTAAAGTGTTACTAAATAGATCCATTAAAGATCTCACTAAGTTTTTTATTACTAAAAAAAAATTGTTATATTTTATTAAATATTTTTAATTACTTACAAAAATGGATATTATATAACTTTTACATGTTTAATAAAATAAATACTTCATTTCGTTTTTTAATTCAATATCTGCTATAATTTTTGGCTGTGTGAAATGCTTAGTGTGTATTGGGATTAGATTATTTTTTATATTTATAAAAAAATTGAAAATAAACTATTTATTTTTGTTTGATAAATTAAAAAATAAATTATAATATTTATCAATTTTTACTGTCAACATTTTAGAGTTTATGATTAAAAGTTATCAAATTTCTAGTTAAAATTTATTTATTTTATAAAAATTGATTATTTTAAATAAAAAATAGAAATTATACATAACCTTGTTTTTTTAATATAATTTCATCCTAAAAAGTTGATATTTTATACAATTTAAAAAACATTATTTCAAAATCAAATTTGATCTAACATATCTAAATATAAAATTTATTTTATATGGTAAATTATAATATAATTATTATTAAAATGGTTTATTTTTTTTCTTTTGGAAATCCTCATAAAAAAAAAAAAAAAAAAAAAATTGTCTTGTTCTTCGTTCAGCGTCTGAAAAAGAGACCTATGATTGTTGTTTGGGCGTTTGTATCATGCATTGTCCTGTCCTCTTGTCTACCCCATCTTAACAACTGTATCTTCAGTTACTTGCTCACTCTCTATACTTCCAATGAGATGCCATTGAATGATATTTTAATATATACCATACATACTTATTATTGCAAGATTAACCTTCCTTATACTATAAAATCACTATTATAATTTTAAGGAAAAAAATTTATGTATTAAGAATATGAAAAAGGATCTTCTTAAGGTAAGTATAAAAAATTTTAAATTTATATAAAAAATACTGCACTATAAATATTGAAAAGTTTTTCTATAAAAATGAAAAATTTTAATGAATTTCTTTTAGCAATCTGGTTGAAGCCAATAATAACTGTCACGAACTGTGGCTTATCTTTTATTGGAATGAGTGCAGAAAAGGATAAGTCTATTACTATTTATCAAAGAGGAATGTTAACACACATTTTTTTATTTACTAAAAAATTTTAAAATATTAATTTAAAAATAAAATTTATGTAATTTTTATAATTTTAATAAAATTTAGTTAATTATAAACTCTATTAAAAATATGTTCTTAACATTTTTCTCAACGAAAGTAAAGACAAGATAAACTCAATTTTTATAAAATTAAAAACTAAAATATTTAATATTTTAAATTTAGAAATTTAAAATAAATGTTAACTAATGTTCAAAGTATATTAGTTAAAAATATTTTAAAATATATTAAAGTTTTTTCATAATTTTTAATATATTTAACATGAAAAAAGGGGGGAAGAACAAAGGGTGAGTTTCTCTATCTGAATGGTTAGGTCGAACTTTGCTGCCATGGCAGTGCCCAGTGATTCAGTGAAATGAAATTCTAAGCCTTTTTCTTCACAAATGGCAAAAACAAAAGAGAAATATAAATATTTGTGCAGCACTTTCAACGGTTAAGGACTTTATTTCAGTCACATTTTAAAGTAACTGACATTAAAAAGGTTTGAGGCTTTAGAATTCGAAAAGTGACACTACCCTGTTCCCATCATTATTTTTCCTTTCACATTCACATTCACATGCCTCACCATTGGAATAAAGAATATGTATAAGATTCCCTTTCCTACGTATACATTGCTACAAATATCATCCAAAAATAGAATCAAATTGTACAGATAATTACTTCATTAGAAAATTTCTGTTTATTATAAAATATTCAGATACGTGGGTTTGTACTCACAGAGTGTTCTTTGTGAGTTGATTGAGATAATTGGTTTAAATTTAGGTGAGATGATATATGAAAAATGGCGAAGCAGTGACTGAAAACGAAAGTAGGAAGTGACAGATGAACCTGTTCTGCACTGCATTCATTGGCGAGAGGGCACAGTGATAATAAGAACACCAAGAATAACTGAATGGTACACATAACATAACATGTAGCAATGTGATGTAATGATGTATGTACATGTCAATGTCTTTAACTTTTTGGTTTGAGTGATGTGAGTGTGAAATGAGGGCTATGTGTCTCCCTCTGCCTATCAACTGCTCCGACGCCTAACTAATTTATCATCTTCACTGTCCCCTCAACTACTTTTTTAACATTCAAAACCCTTTTTTTTATATAAATTAATTATTATAAATATTAACTTATCTTTATTTCATAATTACCTTTTTATCTCTGATTAAAATAATGTAAGGTGATTATTCTTAACAATTTTAGTTTATCTTTATCTCACTTGTCCCTTTTTGTTTTCCAGTTAGGAAAATGTTTTTTCTTTGTATCAGGTGAATTGAATTGACCCATTGTCATGTCCCATCATATAAATGGCAATAATTTTGCTGTGAATATAGACCATAGGTTATATGTTAATATTCGTCACTATTCAAAAAATGAAATCGATTACAGTATTAGTGCTTCCCTTTCCTTACAAATTAACAATTCACCAAACGGAATTATGTGCTGTTAAAGGGCAAATGCTAATGAATGATCTACCCACCTACCTAGAAACTGAAAAGTTGATATTTAAAAAGTGTTTTAGTGATAAAAACATAGAAGAAGCTTTTAAGTATGTTAATATTAAAAAGAAATAGTATACTACTTACTCACGAAGTTTTAACATAAAAGTAAAATTTTAAAGTTAAAAAGTTATGGTTAAATATTAGCTGTTTATGTTAATCATCAAGATAAGAAGACTTCCTAAAAAGTCACATAATTAATAGGTAGTTGCATCCTCCATCAGTTAAAGTTAAAATGAAACTAAATATATAAAATATTCTTATTGGGGATTGTACACACTCTAGTTATTTTGTTCTTAAAGAGATGGATTTTTAAATTTTGTTATGGAAAAAAAAAAACCTATATAAACAACGCTTAAAATAGCTTTTTTTTTTAATCCCACATTAAAATAACAAAAAATCACCAACAAAACATGACACAATTCAAAACATGACACATTAAACTAAATATATATATATATATATATATATATATATATATATATATATTAAAAGAATGTATATTTTAGTTATCTTTTTATCTTAAAAATTAACTACTCTTTGATTTATTCTTAGGGCGCAAAAAACCTCCCTAGTATTTATTTAGCACATGAAATGGGCCATGAATTTTCAATTTAAACATTTGAAAATCTTTTTAATAATTTTAGCCACAATTGTAAAGCTCAAAAGCAGAATGTAGTAAAACTAAAAACTAAAACCTTTTCAAACTACAATCTTTATCGTTTGGATAATTATTTTTTTATCTCTTATTATATAATTAATTTTTATTTTTCTATTTTCACTATTATTGTTATTTTTTAGATTATTATTATCATTATCAACACTATTATTGAGGATGCTATAATCTTTATCCTGTTTACCATAGTTATTGTCGACACTTGTGAACTAATTTTTTTTTACTCAAATTAAACATAAAAACAGTGTTAAAAATTAATTAAAAATGATAGCTTTTCGTTCCAATTTCTTTCACTGCCCGAATATATTTATGATTACAATTCAATTCAAATTTCAATAAATTTTAAATTATATTTTAAACTAAAATTCTAATTTTATACGGCATATTATTTTTTTAAAAATAAATCATTGCTTAAATTTGTGTTTGTACGTGGCAATAGTTTACTCTCTCTCTTTTTCTTTTTATACGTTTTTGCGCCCAAAGTACTGACAATAAGTATATCATAGTTATATTTTTTTCTCATTATCCACCGTATATCAATTATTATACAATTGTGGATGAATTGTGACTGAAGTTTATAATAAATATATATATATATATATATATATATATATAATGTTATTTAATAAATTAAATCATAAAATAAGAAAGAATATGTCAAAAAAAAACTAAGTCGAAAAATTTTAAATTAACACAAGAGACTAAATAATGATATTAGCTTATAAATAAATCTTAAATTATTATGAAAAAAAAAATGGAGTTCAAACCGATAATCAATCATTGTTTTCTCATAGTATGTTTGGTTTCTATTTTAAAATGATTTTTTATATTAAAAATAAAAAACTGTTTTTAAAATAGAAATCACAAACTTTTTTTTATAATCAATGCTTACTTTTAAAACCGGTCGATGCTTGGGTTAAATAGACAGAACATTAAATCAAGTCATCGGTTAATTTTGGTTGATCAACAGGTTGGTTAAATCCCATTTTTAACTGCCACACAAAAAAAGGAAATTTTGATTGCATAAAATAAATAATACCAATAAAAGAGTTGAATTTAACATTTTCACATTTAATCTGTCTGATAAAATGTTTAAAGGATGAATCATTATTGAATTTTTTTATATTAAAAATGATTTGGAATATTTTTTCTTTGGCAATATAAACTTTGTTTTACTCATTTGTTTCGTCTTTGTTAATTTATTTGATTTACTTAAAAATTTTAATTTTAATACAAAAAATATAAATTGTTATGTTAATAAGAATAATTGAATTTGATAATAAATAATATAAGTTATAGGGACAAGATCTTCTTATACTGTTATAAGATTAAAAACTCTTATATTAAATTTAAATTTTTAGATATAAGTTAAATAAAAAATTTAAATTAAATCTAAAAATTTTTAAATTTACATATAAGATTTTTTTTATAAAAATTATATATACATATATATATATATATATATATAATATTTTAGTTAATTAAGACTAAATTAAAATTAAACTCTTAATTATACTACTCACGAGAAATTTAGTAAAGTATATAATAAATATATCAAAACAGGTTAAAGCAACTTTTATTCTTTGCAAGTTGAAACTACACCAATTATTCTAACGAAAAAATGTCTACAGTCAATCATTCCCGTTAAGCTTAAACTAAAGCAAGTTTTAATCAATTTTTCACTCCATCAAACTCAGTAAATCAAGTTAACCTAAAAAAGAAAATCATTCCACAACACAGCACAAAACAATACACCATCTAAACTAGAAAAGAGAAAAAAAAAAAAAAAAACATTAACACAAACATGTTTCTATATTAGATAGGAATTGATAGTATTTTTAATTTAAAATATGCTAAAGTATATATATTTTAAAATATATATTTATTAATTTGGGAGACCCAAATACGAAAGGTTAATAATTAAAACCTGAAATGCAATACACTGAAACGTAGGGTCAGTGCAGCAATTCAAGAGATTTTATTGGTAACAGAGTCGCATATTACATGGTTAGTGTTAGTGGCACGCTTTTTCTGAGTCCCAACTTCTAAGTTATCTAACGCACCACTTTCACCTTTTCTTCCCGTCGCCGGTTTCCGGCTAAACATGTTTTGACGGCGCATGAATTCCGTCGAATCATGCGGCCGTGTCGTACCCAAGATCCGCTCCTTCTCTTCACTTCCAGGTACCCTCCACATTCTATTTTTCTCTCTCATCCCCCCTTCTGAATTTCATCGATTTTTTATTCTTATTTTGATTTGGATCCGAATCTGGTTTCTGCTTCTTCAATTGGATCGGAACATGCCCTATATCTCAAACTTTGATTTTTCTTTCTGGGTGGTGGTGTTTTGCGGTTGCATGCAAGTTTGTTCCATTTTTCACTTGTTCAATTCTCGCTGTGAATTTGCAGATGATTCTGTGTGTCTGAAGCTGGAAATCAGATAACGAAAGTTGCTGATTTTCTAGTATCTGGAAATCCAAATCTCTGTTGCTGAATCGTTGGATGCTGCAACTCTATTTTTGGTTCTCTCTCTTTTTATCCGAGGTTATGGTTTTTCAGTTAATATACCAATTGGATGTAAGTGCCTTGAAGGGATGATTTTTTTAGTACAGGGTGATTACAGATATTTAACTGAAGTCCCTAAATTTGATGGAAAGAATACAGAGATAGGGATTGGTGGCATGCCCATGTTGGGATGTAGGGTATAGGGTGTTTATGAAGGGACTGTGAAGAATTTTGTTGGGTTACACTGAAGGTTTGTTGACATGACAAAGAAAATGCGTTTGGATTGTTCCTTGCAGGAGGGGAATGAAGAGAAAGTGGATAGCTTTGTGGAATTGGATACAAGGGAAAGAGTGAATGATGGTTTTTCTAGAATTGGACCAAATGATTCACTTCTTCCTGGTCTTATTGATGATGTTGCACTGAATTGTCTTGCTTGGGTTAGTAGATCTGATTATGCTTCACTAGCATGTATAAATAAAAGGTACAACTTGCTGATTAGAAGCGGGTATCTATCCGGGTTGAGGAAAAAGTTGGGGATTGTGGAGTTGGAGCATTTGGTTTATTTGGTTTGTGATCCAAGAGGTTGGGAGGCTTTTGACCCTAAGAGAAATAGATGGATAACATTACCTAAGATTCCTTGTGATGAGTGTTTTAACCATGCAGATAAGGAGTCCTTGGCTGTGGGGAGTGAATTGTTGGTTTTTGGTAGGGAATTGATGGATTTTGCCATTTGGAAGTACAGCTTGATTTGTCGTGCTTGGGTGAAGTGTCATGAGATGAACCGACCTCGCTGCTTGTTCGGATCTGGCAGTCTCGGTTCAATTGCTATTGTTGCTGGTGGAAGTGATAAATATGGAAATGTTCTAGAGTCTGCGGAGTTGTATGACTCTTCTTCAGGTACATGGGAACTGTTACCAAACATGCATACACCACGTAGATTGTGCTCTGGTTTTTTTATGGATGGCAAATTCTATGTGATTGGTGGCATGTCAAGTCCTACTGTTTCATTGACTTGTGGGGAGGAGTATGATCTTAAGACAAGAAATTGGCGGAAGATAGAGGGTATGTATCCATATGTTAATGGGGCTGCTCAGGCACCTCCACTTGTGGCAGTTGTGGATAATCAGTTATATGCAGTTGAGCATCTTACCAACATGGTGAAGAGATATGATAAGGAAAAGAACACCTGGAATGAATTGGGAAGGCTTCCAGTTCGGGCTGATTCTTCTAATGGATGGGGCTTGGCTTTCAAGGCTTGTGGGAAGAAACTTCTGGTTGTGGGTGGACAAAGGGGTCCAGAAGGTGAAGCTATTGTACTGAATTCATGGTGTCCTAGGGCAGGGGTCAGTAATGGCACCATTGATTGGCAGGTACTTGGTGTGAAGGAGCATGTTGGGGTGTTTGTGTACAATTGTGCAGTTATGGGTTGGTCTGGTGAGATGCTTTTAGATTGACTCAACAGAATATTTGCTGGTTATCTACAATCTGACATAGCTTTCAGGGGTGCTTCTGTGTTGATTCATCTTAGTTAATTGGTGATGGGATAGCTTTTCCTTGATGAGAATTTGGGTTTCTTCTTTCGACATCTTATTTGGATGTGTCTCTCACTTTCATGATCCATAAATTTTATTTGCTTTTGAGATTACTTAGTAGGCTTACACAGATATGTTCTGTTATCTTTTTCTTATCCAACAATGTAAACCAATAAATCATGGAGTTTTATTTTTTAATGCTTCAATGTTTATGCTTTGGTCCTTTGTGTAGTGTATGATATATTGGTATATCTCTCAAAATCTGTCCTTTGTGCATGCCTAGTGCAATAATGTTTGTGTACGTGGTTTGAGGGAGAGGAGAGACTATGAGTGCGTTTGGATAACTGCCTTATTCAAGCACTAAGCTCTTTTTAAAACAATGATTTATGTCTTAAATTTAACGATGAAATTATTAGGATATGCTGAAAACAACTTATTTTTATTAGTAATATAAAAAAGCTTATTAAAATAAGCTGAAAATAGTTTAAGAGTTTTTACTTATTTTTCATAAACTATTCATAAGCTTTTTTGTAAATGGACCTATAACTACTACACTAAGTTGAAGAGGAAGTATGCTTCTCATATTAGGCCAATAATATTATTATATGGCACCAAAAGAAAGCGAGGTCCCCTCAGCTCTATGATGTGTTTTGACACTTCCAGCTGTACTTCCTGGATTGAGATGCTGTTTTCATCTGCCTGTTTTTGTTTAGTTATATACAACTTAACATAAAAATGATTCTCTTCATTAATAAGTTGGTTTAACTCTTGAGTCTGGGACCATCCTTTGTTTCCCTAACTAACTAACATGTTTAAAAATCATGAGAGAAGGCTCAGTGCAATGCCCACTCTATTTATTTAGTAATAATAGTTTACAGTGTACCCATATTTTGCACAAATTATAGTCACTGGATGATACTTTGGCCATACCGTAGTCCCTTCCCCCTAACAAAATAAAAGGGTATTTTACAAAATACCTCAAATTATATGTTCTCTATTTGTTGTTGCAGTATGTTATTACTCAGGTCTGATCTATATTTTCACTCTGATTTTTTGGTATGCTGAGAATTATATCTGCTTATACTCTCCTTTTTTCACCTTGAGCTAATCTTATTGTGTTGCCCATTTTGTTGGGCATACATTTGTGTCTGTTTCCAATAAGTTGGAATCCTTCTGTACTATATGTCGGTGCATCTATTCCCTAGAAGCTAGAATGATGCATTACCAATTAGGCCAAAGGGAATAGGTCCACAATCTATCATTTTTCTAGGACTTAAAATGAAAAAGAAAAAGAAAAGAAAATTGATCACTGTTACAAGTTTTCTTTAACTATTTTAAATGAAAAAGTCTTGTATTTACATGGTTCTTTATCCTGCTTTAAGTCTCTAAAACGGCGTGAAATTATGAGACATGTGCTTTTACACCAGCCAAGACATAACAAAAATGTAGAACGTTACGTGAAGGTTGTAATGGTAGTGACATCAAGTTGGTTAACACCAAACGTGAAGAAAATTCACGTTAGCATGTTGGAAATGGAATCCTTTCTGCAGGTGATGGGATGGGGCCACTGCCACTGTGGACCGACCATTGCTTCTGTTGTTGGTTTCTTTCCACTTGGTTGGTTTCTTTCCACTTGGGAGATTCCAAAAAAAGAAGAGTTATGAGTATCATAAAGTCAACCATTTATTCCAGTGATTAAAATAATTTTTTTTAATTAAAAAAACACATTTGGTTTGTTGAAAACTAGGTTCATTTACCATTGAACTTTTCTCCAGAAAAAAAAAAAAAACAAAGCTTTTGTTTCTTTTTATATTTGCTACAACTTTGTGGCAGACCTGAGGAATTGGGGATTTCAATCAAAACTTTTGGCAACCACTTGACATATATATGATGCATGTATCCAAGACTAGTTTTAGTTGTGGCCCTGCCTACAATGCAGAAAATATAAGTACCTGAAGATATTTTAAAGCATAGAAGAAAGAGGAATAAAATGAAGACAAATTATTAAATCAAATTAAACTTGAGTGTTATAAATGTCCTCATGAACCTCACCAAAAGGACAAACAGAAACATCACAGTTCAAAACACAAAAGTACTACTCTCGCTCACATAAAATGTTTTGAGAACAAGAAACTAAAGAAGTCTTCAGGTAACATTAGAAACTGGAATATCATCATATAATTCCAAAAGATGCCTCCAATAATGGTCACTGCTTTTGCTATTAGAGGGCAATCAATCCAGCTAGAGGAGACACCTATGGTTTAAGACCATCACAAATGATAAGGTAGAATCACGGTTCGTTTCTCTAACCATGTTCTTGACTTTAGATGTCCTATGCATAATATGAAGATAAGGGATCCACAACAATCATGTTGAGATTAGGAGAATGCACCATTATGCTGATCAGCAACTGAAATTGACTAGAGTCTTTTCTATATCCTGACACATCCAACTCTCTTATGGTTCAGATTGGCCACCCACTCCTGCTCCGCTGGCCATAGATCAGATCTGAGGAACTGCCAAATCAAAGATACACACAGAATTGAAACTATGATGAGATCAACAGTATGCACATCCATGCAGCATTCATAATATGAACATGTTGTAGGTCTTGTTTGTTTAATATAATAAGCTTTTTAGCTGGAAATTGAATATGTTTAGTTAAGCTGATGAATGTGTTGTATGATCCTTATATATATATATATATTAGTTTATTCCAATAAACTATATGGTATTAAGCTTATTGAATGTGATAATCAAATAACCATTTAATTGAAATTTTGTCTAGACATGCCCTTCATGCAAATCAACATCATCCATATTTGATTGCAATTGACTACAATACTTTCCTTTAGAGGAGGCTTCCACAAGGCTTGGGACACATTCAAAGTTAAATTTTGCAAAATTTCCAGTGTAGCTAAATGTCATGAGATTTTCAGTATAGATGTCAAGATACTGAATATTGCAGCACACCAGCTCCAAATGTTGTTTCAGCCTCAAAGCTAGACCAGAAATTCTCAACTCCACAAGACGTTTTAATTCTATGACACAAAATGTTTCAAGAGATGGACAGGAAGCTAGAAATTTCTGAATGACCTCACCACTCACATCCACAGAACCAAACGCAAGACAGTTTTTTCTTCATTCCAAAACTAGTGGTTGATGGCAAAACATTGCGAATTATCTCACTTATCTCATAGAATGGTTCTATGAAATAAGAAAAATCCAGTTTAAGCATTTGAACATCCTTCTCAGAAGCAAACTCAAGCCATTCAGCTATTTTCAAAGGGTTACCGAAATCCATGCAATGACTTCGACACATGTTCAAAATGGGTCATGAACCTCTCCCTCTTAAAAACAAAAAGCTCCACTTCCTCAACCCAATGACTTCATCTGCCATAGTGCTTATGATATCTCTCTTCAGTGGCGGATCCAGGACCCTAAGGTCAGAGGGTGCAAAAATATAAAATTAGGGATGCAAAATATAAAAAAAAATTATATTATTAATAGTAATTTATTAAAATTGAAAAGGTTTATGAAAGTTGAAGAGGTGCATTTGTTCCTAGGACTCCATGTGCATCCACCACCGTCTCTATTTCTTCTCACTCACCTCTGAAGATGGAAAAAGGTTAGGTTAGTATAGGCTTTAGATAAATAGGTATGGTCTCTTTAATAATTTTAAAGTATAAGTCTAATTTATTATCTGTTATAAGCTTTTTATTAAGTCTAGTTTAGTTATTTAAAAAGTTTGATTTGACCTATTAATCTGTTTAACAGTTTATTTTGTATTAATATATTCAACAGGTCATTAAATTTTCTTGTAAATAGGTTATTAAACCATTTAAATAGGTATGTCTTTTTAAAATTTATAAAACTTATATCTAGATAAACTATTAGAAGGTATGTAGTAAATACTCTCTTTAACTCTAACAAAAAAATTAAGGTTTTTAATTTAAGATTTTATTATTTTAAAATTTAATTGATTTAATATATTATTATAAATTTTAAATAAGTTTAATAGATTTTTTCTTAATCTCAAGTCTAGCCTATTTAATTAATTAATCTTTTTAAAAAGTTTAAATTAAGCTTATTAATTAAATAAGCTAGGCCGAGCTAGGCTTTAAAAAGGCTAAGTTGTAAGCCCCTGTTAGACAGCCTGATCTATTTCTATCCTTACTCTCTTTCTCACGTGTTCCTAACTCCATAACAAATTAAAGTAATTAAACACTTTAAAGGTATTTCCAATTACCAAATGTTGGATAATCTATTTTAGAACACGTATTTGTGTGTGAATGAAAACGGTGATATGCTACATAGTAATTCATGTTATTTGGAAACCAATAGCTTATCCATGCATCGTATATTATTAGTCGTGCATGTTAAAACTACTTTTTCCCTATAATTAATTAATTAATGTTTAATTATGTAGTGTATGGTGGAACAATGCCAACATCAGATTCTCGTCCCAATACCCACAATTTTTTTTAAGTAATGTTAAATAATAAACACTCATTTACACACGCATCATTTATATTTTCTAACAAAAAAAAATTCATTTACATTTACAAAGTTTATTATTATTATTATTTAATCTTATCTACATTCTTACTCATTCACAACGCTATGTTTGTGATAAATAATAAAATAAAATAAAATGATACTAAGTTTGTTACGTATGAATTAGAACAATTTGAGGAAGATATGGATGTGTTAGAGTCCAATAACTTAGAAGATGAAGATGAAAGCACACCACCCTTGGGCCGAGGCAAGAGGGTGAAGTTTAGGCCTAAATACTTGAAAGATTTCCACATGTCCAAGAAGCTGAAATGAGGACCACATTAGATATTTTCTAGATGATTATGTTTTACCTTGTTGGATTATCTTTATTTTTTCATTTTGTTATTTTCTTTTTTCGTTGAGTTTGTTACATTGTAAGGAGAGCAACTCTATAAGAAGATTTGTTGAGATTATGAAGGATATGAAGAATCATATTTGAGGACCCTTGTGGTTAGGAGGTGCTTTCCCTCGAAGAAGGATAGTTTCTCTTGCATTTTCTTTTTTCTTATCTTCTGTCTTTGCAAATTGGTGCTTTCATTGAGAGAATTTTTTTTTCAACCACGACTCAAAACTAACCAGAAAACGTTGATATCCAACTTGCTCGCATGAGAGATAGTCATTTCACCTTGCAAAAAGAATTTCTCGCTGTAACAACAAAGCTTGCTGAGTTGGAAACCAAGCTCAACGACCCAAGCACTGCACTGATCGGTTCTTCCTCTAAGGTTCCAAGAGATCCAAAGTTTTCCATGAAGTTAGACGTGCCCAGATTTGATGGATCTGACCCAGTTAGGTGGATTTTTAAAATCAAGTAATTCTTCGAGTATCACAACACACACGAAACCCAACAGATCAAGATAACGAGTTTTTATATGGATGGTGAAGCATTAAGTTGGTACCAGTGGTTGGTAGAAAACGAACAGGTAACGGGCTGTGAAGGTCTCCTCTGAGCTATTGAATCAAGATTCGCACCATCTCAATTCGAGGACCCAACCAAAGCTTTGTTCAAGCTTGTACAGATGACGACGATGCGTGAGTATCAGCAACAATTTGAAGCGCTTACTAATCGAATCACCGCCCTACCCCCATCCTTCTACTTGAGCTGTTTTGTATCGGGTCTCAAACCAGAGCTGCAGATCAAAGTCAAATCTCGCCAACCGGCGACAGTGATGGAGGCTGTTTCTCTAGCAAAAATCTACAAAGCCAAATACAAAGAAAACCCAACCAAACCCAAAATTTCCCAAACACAAACTAGTTCCATTGCCAAACCCACCTATTCCCCTAAATAGGGGTGTCCATTGGATCGGGTAAACCAATAAACTCGATAATCTAAACCGATCCAAACTAAAAAAAATCCAAACCAATGCTTAACGGGTCCGATCCGAACCAAACCGGTCAAACCCGACGTGGTTTGGTTTGGATAACGGGTATTACTATATCAACCCGATAACCCGTGTTTATACCCGATGAACCCGAGCAAATTCACTTTGAAGAGCGGTTCAATTTCAACCGCTCTCAGAAGTGACCTTTGGAGAGCGGTTCAATCCGAACTGCTCTCCGAAGTGACCTTTGGAGAGCGGTTCCAATATAACCGCTCTCCGAAGTGATCTTTGGAGAGCAGTTACATTGGAACCGCTCTGCAAACGTTGCACCCCTTAACCTAGTTACGCCGCTGGTGAGGACAACCACCATTAACCTGTTTTGTTGTTCCGCTACAGCTCAACTTGGATTTCTCTCGCTTCCGCATCTCAAATCTAAATCAAAGTGAGTATATGTCTAATTTTTTCTCTACTTTTTCTATTTTTAATTTTTACTCTGCTCTAAAATCTGTTTATGCTTATGATTTTGCAGCCCACAAATGGCAAATAACAGTGAAACTGCTGAGAATACCCTAACAAGCTCAAGTGGCATGGAACTACAGTAAGGTGGTGTAGACACTTCATTGCTGCAAGAGACTCCTACGCAAGGACTAGAGACTCCTACACAGGGACAAGAGACTCCTACGCAAACTCAAGGACTCAAGGTATTAAAAAGAAAACCTAGTCGACCGCCATCCAATGCTTGGGAACATTTCACTAGACAAAATGATAAGGCTATTTGTAACTATTGCCAAAAGTTATATGCATCTAATAGTTTTACCCATGGAACCACAAACTTGAATAAGCATGTTTTGTGTTGTCCGAAAAACCCAAATAGGATAGTTGATAAGAGACAAAAAA